AAAAAAATTAAAAAAATGTTTTTCATCGGAATTATGTTTCCAGCTCAAAAATAGACTCAAAAACGAATTTTGTAAAATTTGTCTACATACAATGTCAATAGACAAAAATTGTCATTTGCAGTACCATAAGGGTACCTTAAGGAACCGTTTAAGCCATAGTGAAAATCAACTTCAAAATTCAGCCAAAAATGAATTATTCATAAGTAAAAATATCAGAAATAATTCAAATGAATTAAAAATGTAAAAATATTCAATGTATAAAGGCCTAGTAGGGTGCCACAGTGTTGGGAGTACTCTACACACATTACATAGGGGTACGCTTGACGCTCGACCCCCACCTTCAGGTAGCAAGTCTCACCGCTTCACGCGGCTTCCCCACTACTCCCACCACTGTGCCACTTCGGCGGCTCGACGCAACGTCAACGCGCCGTAGAGAGCGAGTCGAGGTATACTGCTTCTTACAAGAGAAGGAACATCGGGTTTACCCCCGAAGCCGGATCCCCCACTCTCGATTCCTCCCACTTTTATCAACGCATGCGCAGCACTGCCTGGCCGACCACCGAACGCCGAGCCTAACTTGACCTCCACCGGGGACTGCTTCCTGTCAAAACCACAAAACTGGCAAAATAAATTGTTTGGATGATCTTTTAGTGAAACAAAAAAATACTGATGATAGTAATTCATGAAAAAAAAGTTTAGCTTTCGGAGTGCTTAGGGAGTGATTTTTTCAAGTGTTATAAACGCCTGGGTAAGTACGAATGTTTTTTTCCTCTTCTAGGTTATATATGCTTGACAAATTATTCGACTTTTAGAACTCTTCTCGTGATGAGGTACGTCAGGGGAAACGTCACTCCAAAGAGGCAAATTATTCGTAAGCCTTGGAATAGTCAGGTGGTGAATAAAAGGGGACGATCATTCACTCGACAATTCCAAGCTGCCATCCATTGCCTTTACAAACATTTTGAAAAGGAGCGAGATCATGGTGGTCCCTTACTACCTTTGGAGCAAGTCAGGTAAGATTTTAAACTTTATCAATATTTACAATAATTAATCTCCTCAAACAATTTGCCACATGGCATATCAATACATCACAAATATTGTGTGGATGAAATTTTACTCTGGTTAGCAATTTTCTCGATGGTTTCCACCGAGAGTAATTCACTAAATATATAGTTTCGTTTGTTTCTTTTGACTATTCTCATTGTCTGGACGTGTACATTTTTATATATCTAGAATATCGTCTGCTTGTATTTGTAACTGAAATTCTCAGATGAAATACTTTATTGGTGTAGAGATTCCATCAGGTCATTCCTATGAATTGTTGTTCTGAGTTACTGCAGTGTTTTCGAAGGGAATTGTGCAATTTTCTAGACTATGACAGATAATTCTCTCTGAAAGACTGACGGAAACTTTCCACTTTTATATATTCAACAAGTATGGAAAGTGCTTGAAAATTGTTAGCAAATAATGAATTTTTTTACACTGAAAATTTTTCAAATTTCATGTACGACATAACTTCACTTTTTCCTTGAGATTGTTTGTAAAAGCAGAGATTTCATGTTCCTGGTAAATGGTGGGGGCATATTGATTTGAAAAAATACAAAACTGAAGAGAATACGTAACATTCTCGAGTTCGAAGATATTTCAGACTTATGTTGACGATGTCCTGAAATTTTCAAGTTGATGTAATGCCATTAATTTAAGAAGAGGATCATTGAGGGGGAGAGGATTCCCCGAATTGTTAAAAGGACATCAGTGTTCAGAAGTTATTTCCCCAGCCAACTTTTTCAATATTATTACAAAATTGAGATAATTTTTTTTACGTAATAATTCTTTTTTGAAGTGACCAAACGTTGAATTGTATGATTTTTTGTTTCGTATGCGCATTCACTTTGAACATGTCCAGCACACGAACTGATGCATATACAATCTGTCTTTAATCAAATATCTTGGATTTTTTCAGAATCATTACATGAGATCTCGCAGAGGAATCTCGAGGCGAACTTGTCTGACAACTGATGGCTGAANGCAAGAAATAATTCAACCTTAAAATCTACACAGATCATTTGACTGGAAAAATCATAAAAACGTAAAATTGTTTATAAACAATTGGGATAATTTTCATAAAAAAACTTGAAAACAGGCTAAAAATAAAGGATATATATCGGTGAAGATACCCACCAAAAATCGTTTCTTCATCTCTGCAAACAGCGGAGATATGAAATTTCANCATTTCTGGTCTTTAAAATATTTTATATATATATATAGCAGGAACTCTGTGCATGTGGAATATTGGTTGAATTATGAGAAGATTTTTCATGTCCTAATACTCAATACAGGTGAAGTCAAAGGAGTTGTGAAGGAGTGGGGTGTTCTCACACACAAATGTGTAGGAGTATCCCACAGATTGTGGCTCCCTGGTATTTATTGGCTCTTAACTCTGTCCTTGTTGCACTTATGTTTTGCAGGGGTGTCTGGTTTCAAGATATNTTCAATCAAATATTGAAAAACCTATCAACAAATTTAATTGTTATAAACAAAAGATAGTAAATTTTATCGGAAAAATCTGGAAAAAGACTAAAATTGAAGATCTCGAAGCCGTGAATGAGACAAAATTTGAATCATTCCTTAATCTTCATATGCAACGGAGATATGATTTTTTTTTAAGTTGCACACACTCATGCACTCACAGATGGGTATGCATGTGCTCTAACGAAACTTTGGAAATTTCTAGACCTTTTTCTATGAGGAATATAGGACAAAGTTAGGTATAAAAAATGATGAATAAATTGGCCTCTCTAAGAATGCATTATCAAAAAAGTCAAAAGTCAATAGACAAATCTGACTGTCTATTGACATGTCATTCAAAATCTACCATAAAAATTCAAAAATCAATGCAATCAATTGAAGGTTAGTAGAGGAACAGGAAAATAATGGAAAATCACGGAAAAAGTTGAATTAGAAAGTGTCAATTTGCAGGTCATTAGCTACCCTTAAATTGGAACCTTAATAACTTTGGAACCGATTAACATTTCGGAAAGTAAAAATATTATAAAAATACTCCATTAAATTCCCCACAGAATAGAACATTGAACAGATTTTTAAATTCAAAAACCACCCTTTGGGAAGCTAATAGACAGTTTCTCAAGGTCAAATATTTAACTGTGAATATCTCCGAAGATTATAAAGATTAAATAATGAAATTTTGGGCAAAAATACTATGAATCAAGGTCTCTCAGATAAACTAAAAAACCTTTCCGATATATTGTTAAATAACAATGTTATTAATAATCGAATGTTATAAAAAAAATTAAAAAAATGTTTTTCATCGGAATTATGTTTCCAGCTCAAAAATAGACTCAAAAACGAATTTTGTAAAATTTGTCTACATACAATGTCAATAGACAAAAATTGTCATTTGCAGTACCATAAGGGTACCTTAAGGAACCGTTTAAGCCATAGTGAAAATCAACTTCAAAATTCAGCCAAAAATGAATTATTCATAAGTAAAAATATCAGAAATAATTCAAATGAATTAAAAATGTAAAAATATTCAATGTATAAAGGCCTAGTAGGGTGCCACAGTGTTGGGAGTACTCTACACACATTACATAGGGGTACGCTTGACGCTCGACCCCCACCTTCAGGTAGCAAGTCTCACCGCTTCACGCGGCTTCCCCACTACTCCCACCACTGTGCCACTTCGGCGGCTCGACGCAACGTCAACGCGCCGTAGAGAGCGAGTCGAGGTATACTGCTTCTTACAAGAGAAGGAACATCGGGTTTACCCCCGAAGCCGGATCCCCCACTCTCGATTCCTCCCACTTTTATCAACGCATGCGCAGCACTGCCTGGCCGACCACCGAACGCCGAGCCTAACTTGACCTCCACCGGGGACTGCTTCCTGTCAAAACCACAAAACTGGCAAAATAAATTGTTTGGATGATCTTTTAGTGAAACAAAAAAATACTGATGATAGTAATTCATGAAAAAAAAGTTTAGCTTTCGGAGTGCTTAGGGAGTGATTTTTTCAAGTGTTATAAACGCCTGGGTAAGTACGAATGTTTTTTTCCTCTTCTAGGTTATATATGCTTGACAAANCTCACGTCGTGTGTGGGATTTGCCTAATCATATATATGTAATGTTTTAGAGCTAGAACAGCAGATGCTCTCAAAGTTTCTACTAGGAAGGTCACCGAATGTGTACGAGTCGGGGAATCAGGAGAAAAGTTTGAGACCCCAGGTAAAGAAAGACCACGGAAAAAACTCATTCGCGACGTGAACGATTCCGTGAAGAAAAAAATTCGTGAGTTAATCTACAAATTTGCTGCAAAACGTAAGTGTTATAGATATAGGATATACAAAAATACAAATAAATTATAACGAGAGTACACCAGGGGGTGGGGAAAGGACTAAGGAGAATAAATTTCAATACATTAATTCATACTAGTTGAGAAGTCTAATTTTTGATCGCATGAAAGGCATTGGGGCGGGCAGGTGGGGATATCTGCAATTCCAGTTCTTACAGATCATATCATCTTTTTCGAATCATTCACTGATCAGAGAAATTTCGAAATTCCTTTTCACTTACTAAAACCTATTGCAATAGACAGGGCAAACTCTACTCAAGGCAAAATCGATTTAAAGCAATAAAATTGCTCCCTTCATATGGCCACATCTGTCCTATCAAATTGAAATGTTAGTGAAAGCAAATTTTGTTAATACAGGTCGATCGCCATCGCTTGATGTACTGCTCCGGACCATAAGGTATACTGGTAATCAGTTTCCTCAATCCGGTCAGAGGATGCAGTTCAGTGATGGAATCTTCCAATGACGCTCAATGTATGTTTCAGAGAGCGAGGGATTGAATACACCGGCGGGAGATACACCCTCAGCAAGGTTCTCCACGATCTTGGGTTCGAATATAAACGGCGGGATGGTACCCGATGGCTGCAGGAACAGCCTCATATCATTTTAAAGAGGATTAAATTCCTCAAAAAGATGAAGGTGCTCATCGACATTGGCAAACCCCGCGCCTGGCAAGATGAGACCTGGACGTTTGCGAAAGGAACGGGGAAGCGGAAAGATTGGCAGGACGAGGATATTCGGAGCTGCTCAATGAAGTCGGCGAACAGTGGAGATCGGTACATAGTCTGTCATGCTGGTGGCAGAGATGGCTTCATACCGAATGCTTCTCTGTTCTTACGTTCTTGTAAGAATCCCAAACCCACCGATGATTACCACGGGGATATGAATTGGGACAATTTCATTAAATGGATTGATGAGCAGCTCGTACCAAATCTTCCCGAACCTTCTGCGATTATCGTCGATAATGCCTCATATCATTCAAAGCAAGTAAGTATTTACATTCATCTCCTTGCTGCTTTTCAGTAAATCCGCTCTAATGACTGTTGCTTATGAACTGTTATTAATAAAAATGACTTATATTTATTACTAATATTTAAAATTGAAATATATTAATGCTTCAAATATTAACATAATTACAGCCGGCTCCCTAAACTTGCGAGATTAATATGTAGTTACATGGTACGTAATACTTTTAGCCTTGTATTTGATGAGTGTTTTCTGCAGTTTTCATACTCCCACTGTATGTGAGTTGTTATTTTTGTATAAATGATTGAAGAGTAAAAGAAAATGAATCGATGTGTGATTGAAGAGTGTTCTGTAGAGAAATTCTTTATTACTGTCCTTCTGTTCGTTATTTCAATAATCAATATGTTATATATTCACTGTCCCTCATCGCATTTTAATATTGATCAACATTTTTCGATGATAAAGTGTGAATACTAACCCACAACCAATTGAAATAAAACGCAGCTCCACTTGTGGCTAGAGAAACACAAGATTCCCTTTGACTCCACGGGGACGAGGAAGGAGTTACTCCTCTTATGTAAAGCCAACAAGCAGCCTGTCAGGTACGAGCTCGATGAATATGTGGCATCGAAAACACCTCATGAAATTGTACGCCTTCCCCCTTATCACTGTCAGTACAATCTGATCGAAATGATTTGGTCGCTAGTCAAGCGCTATTTCGATACTCATGTCGGACGTGATAATGATTTCTCCGAGGCGAACACGCGAAAGATCTGGGCTGAAGCCCTTGTTTCAATCACACCTGAACAGTGGAGGACATGTTGTGAGCACGCAGAACGTAGGATTTTGGAGGATTATGCAAGGGAAGTGGGCGATGACATTGAGCCCTCCTATGAAATCCACATCCCCTGTCCCAATGAGGACTTCATCGATGATGAGGATTTGGAAGTGATGGAGTTTCTCGAGGAAGATTAATCGCAAGACTTGAGGGAAATGGATATTGAAGTGAAAACAATGTCCAATGGGGATTGCGCTTCCTCTGCAGTTTCCTTCATGAAGTTGAAGCAGTCGGTTCGTCGAGCGTTGTTTGATTCAAAAATGGTATGATATCCCAGTAATTAACAACTCGATCTCGATTTTTGAAATATAGAGAGACATCCTATATATTAATGTTTAGGTTTTGTGCTCAATAAAAAAATTTATATATATATATATATATATATATATATATATATATATATATATATATATATATATATATNGAAATATAGAGAGACATCATCCTATATATTAATGTTTAGGTTTTGTGTTCAATAAAACAGTTTATATATATGTATATTAATGTCCTGTCTTTTGTCCACAGGATACTGATGAGGCAAGAGGAGAGGAGATCGCAGTGCCTCGTGAAGCCATTGCCATTCCAACAGACGCTGATCACGGCCATCAGATGAGTCCTACTCCGAATGTTCCCACTGAGGAAGAGACGAGAGCTGCCGTGGCCCATATTCTCGATGTAAATAGCATTTAATGAGATTTCATTCCACAGGAATAATTGGAATACTTTTTACAGTTGGATACGAATGCTGGACACAATGATTTTTTTTTTTTTTTTTTTTTTTTGTTTTTTTT